ACAAGCTGCGTAAAATTGTAGTCCAAACAATCGCTTATAAAAGACAAAGACTCTGCTGACGTTGTAGTGAGAGTTGGGCAGGAACCAGACCAATTGATTTTAGTGAAATTAAAGTCCTCCATTAAAAATAAAGGAGTTGATGGGTACCTTAAAACTTAGCAATTTATAATGTCATGTAGCTGATTAAAAAAAAGTCGATGTTTCGCTCGGTGATCTGTAGCATGCGCAAAACAGTATTTTTTTTTTTGCTGACTTAACTGAACAGCAACGCAAAGAAACTACGAAGGGGTGCTGAGCATAACAATACTAGAAATTATATCAGTCGCTGCAGCAATAAGCACACCGCCACCTGTTTTAACATCGCGGTCAGATCGGTAAATAGCGTAATTTCTTTCACACTCAAAAGTTCAGAATTTTCTATTTTTGCAAAAAGCCAAGTTTCTGTTGGAACAACAACGTCAGCCGAGCAGTCATCAAGGACAGATGACAAAGCATCACGTTTGTTAACCATGCTTCTGACATTAGACAGTAAAATAGATAAGTCACGACAGCCAGTATTACCGCGCGCTATTCTTGCTACGATAATGATCTGTCAGCGTCAGCACTCGTAGAAGCAGACTGGGCTTAAGTGTTGGATCATAATCTAGTTTTTATAGAACTTAGTGTCGTTCAGTTGTTTAAATGCTTCCGATATATAGTCGGCTGTGTTAACTATACATATACCTTCCCTTTTGTCAGCCTGGGCTATTAGAATATATCTGTTATCAGTGAGGTTTTTAAGCATTGTCTATCTTTATTAGTTAATTTATTTTTAAGCGGTCTCTGTTTTTTATAATCCGATAAAACATCTTTCTTGACCGCCTTTATGTATTTTATGACATTAACATTTTGTTTATTCAACGGCGGAATCCAAAAGGATTTGTGTTTATATAAAAGCTCGTCACTTAAACTCCACAGGACATAACACTTTATGACTTCAATTTTAATATACTTCAGGGTGGCTTTCGAACCACCAGAGATCGAAAAAATAAAGAATACGAATTTATTTAAAATGGAATACTTTAAAACCGAAGGGCCTTAACAGTTCGAAAGGGTCATTGCCGTCTTTTTTATGGGCATTTTATTGAGATCTCCTAATCGGTGCCGCACAGTTGCTTTTCCTTTTCTTTTTTCTCGCTTGATCGTTTAATGTGACACGAGCAAACGCTTTGCAACGGGCCTCTCATTGGCTTCACATGACACCAAGTATGCTTGGCTTATGACCAACCACATGTCCCAAGAACTGTTTTTGTGATAATAATGGCGTTAATAATAATATATTTCATTACTTCGATACTATTTACTGATTTTTTTATCGGGATATATTAAACTTTTAAGCGAGAATTTTGTTTAGTAGATACCCGAAAAACGGTAAGCCATATTCCAATTACTCCTTCTTTGCGGCTGTTGTTTCTTTGATTGAAAGAAAAGGAATACGAAGTGTTCTTTCTCGTGACTGAAGAAGAGCCTACCAGGCCCGAAAGGTATCTGCAGTCACAACTTTTTTGGCTATTTTAGACGACCATCTCCTTAAGGGCATATATATATATATATATATATATATATATATATGTGTGTGTGTGTGTGTGTGTGTGTGTCTATATGTTTTATATGTTTATATATGATTAAACTATATAACTCCTCCTCCCAGTCCTTAGCGGATTCGCTGGAATTGGAATAAAACCACCCAAAAATTCAGGGTATGTTGCTTTCTGGTACCCATATTTTTAAATTGTTGACCTTTAAATAAACACCGTATTCACTTCCCTCTTTTGGTGTTCGATGGGTATTTGTAGTGGTAACTATTGTCATTACACCTATAACTAAGATATACCGGAGAGATACCGGTTAATTTTGTATTTAATTACTTGTTTAGGGGTTTGCTGCAATTAAAGACATGAAGGAGATATTATTAGAGCCAATCCAACAAGTGGAACTTCCGAGACGCTAGCAAGCTGAGCTGTACTGAATGATTGCCTAGCGTGGAATTGGCGATCCAAACAACTTTTCAGTGCCGAAATAATGGCAAGCGCCTGTTAAGGTTTGTCACTACTCAAGAGATAATGCGCTCTTTTTGCCTTCAATTTGGAGATCAGAAGACATACACTTTAAAACTTAATACCCATTTAGTAAAGCCTATTTATTCTAATAGTTCCCTATAGGACTGCTCTTCAAACGACAATTGATACACGACATCTAAAACTATTTACTACAAAGTAAACGACGAAATTTTATCTAATCATCTGGCTTATCATAATTAGATTTTCTTGCTTTGGTTTTGTGAAGCCTGAAAGATATCCAATGAATGGGGTATTCACGTAATACACAAAGCAGTTCTAAATGTTTTCCATTGAAAGAAAACTAGATGTATATGAGTGGGACAGAAATAAACATAGAGACGATTCGATAGCATATATGATCCCTTCGGATGACGTTTAGGTAAATAAATTGAAATGAAAGGAAAAACATGTGCGCAGAGAGTGTTGGTTCACAATACAAGGCATAGGGTCGAAACAAAAAGATTGCGGGGCGCGTGAGCGCCAGTCGAAATGTCTGGTTGCACCTTTTGACGGTGCGCAGCCGCTCTCAAGATTCCCGCTTCGATAATAAGCTTCCTTTCATGCTGGCGCTCATGTCTGTTGGAAGACGAAGAAGTACGAGGGCTGTTCGTGCCAGTCAAAGAGAACCTCTATGGTCAGAGTGCCATGCGCTTATATACCTTTCTAAAGTCGGCATCAGCGACATCTAGAGTTCAAACTAGCACTAAGGTTTCGACCACTACATCTCACATCCTGGACATTTACACTTTTAGTTACAACATATTTGCAAATTCAACCATCTCGGTGGCTTGATGCAGCGTCCGTAGCGTGTCCTCAACACACCGCCTTGGAAGGGCGCCGAAACCCGACGTGGAGTTGCATGCTCTTCTTGCGGCGGCTCCACCGGATCATCAGCTGCTGGATATAATTCTAAGGATGTTCTTGACTTAGGCAGTGAAGGCTGCTCATCCGGTGTCTTTTCTGTCTGTGTCTTGTCTGATGGCGAGAAGCGCACAAGATGACGGCGGTTCCGCTGAAGAATGCTGCTAGGCGTCTCCACGACGTACGAACGTGGACGTTGGGCTGGGCTGAGAACTCGAGCTTGGCAGTTTGCATCAGTCACCCAGACCATGTCACCTGGCTGCAGAGGGCTCAAGGGACTGGCGCTGTGCCGGCGATGGAAATCACGAGCCTGGCGGGTCTTTTTCCTTGTTTCCTGTGCTTTGAAACTCTGGTGGCTCGGTTGGACAGGTGTGAGATTTTCGGGCAGCGCAGGAAGTCGTGTCTGGAGACGTCGACCCATTAGAAGCTGCGCGGGTGACACACCACTGACTCCAGGAGTGTCTCGGAGGGTTAGGCGCGCAAGGTACGGGTCGTCAGCCTTTTTGAGGAGATCCTTCACCGTGCGTACCATGCGCTCCACCTCGCCTTTGCTTTGCGGGTACCGCGGGCTGCTTGTCTCCTGCCTGAATCCATACAGGCGTGCAAAGTCCGTGAATTTCTGACAGGAAAACTGGGGTCCATTGTCGGTCCTGACCACATCCCTTCCGAACATGTGTGAGCGCTTCGTGCAGGGTCATCCGCGGATTCCGACAAAGCTGCTCCGAGAGCTTGCGGTCAAACAAGCCAACAAGAAAACGGTCGCGGACGAGCCGCTCTTCGACGTCAGCAGATGGGTAGTTGCAGCGCTTAAACAAGGTGCGCAGTGCGGTGAACAAAGCGTGAGCCCTCTCACCTGGTTGCTGCATGCGACGCTGGAATCGAGCGGACTCGTAGAGCTCGTTGGGCGGATGGACGGAGTGGTCGGAGAACTCTTTTTTGACAGCTACGAAGTCCTTCGAGTCGGCCTCTCTCAGCGCGGTTAACGCGAGAACTACCCTGGCTTGCGGACCCATGCCATAGAGCGTGGAGCGCACCTGAACTTCCGGCGAAGCGGCGTAGAGTTCTGTGGCGAACGTCTAATCCTCGTAGTGTAGAAACCAGGTGGGCCAGGCGCTGGGGTTGTCGAAGTCGAAACACGATGGAGGACGTAGCTGGACCGTTTGTGGAAACGAAGCGGCGGACGAAATAGTGGGCGAGACGGCGGACTCATCCCCGGTGGCCATGGCGAAGAAAGGAAACCAGGACGGCGGGGGAGCCCGGCGAACGAAGTCTGATCAGGCCGCAAGGTAGGCCTTGCCTTAGAACGCTTCTGACACCATGTCTGATATTCACCTCTTCACCTTTCACCTCTTCACCTTTCTACTCTTTTCTTTTGATCCCCTCTTTCCCCATCCCCAACCTGGAACTGGCTCGCCCCCAATCGACGGTGTGGTTAATAAGTTCAAGGCTTCCTTTCTTTTCAACACTTCTCTCTCTCTCTCACCATGTTGGAAGACGAAGAAGTACGAATCTGTTCGTGCCAGCCAAAAGGACCTCTATGGTCAGAGTGCCATGCGCTTATATACCTTTCTAAAGTCGCCACCAGCGACATCTGGAGTTCAAACTAGCGCTAAGGTGGCGACCCCTACAATGTCTTTTTTACTCGCTTCCATCCAACGCACACGAAATAACATAGGCAGGTCCAGGGTGCCGCATTGTCAGCCATCATGCCGCGCGTCTGCCCAACTTTAGCCAGCGCGTTGGGTGACGGAGCTCGCATGATACATATAACATCTCGAGGCGCCTTGCAACAATCCGTGTTGTCTCGTAAGCATCAGACGGAAGCGTGCGAAAAAAATGAGTGCGAACACGGAAGGAAGTGCATGCGCAAAGCGTGAGCCTTGAGGGCTGCAAACCGCTCCCAGAAAGCGCTGCAAGTCTTTTCGGCTGGCGCTCCCGTGCGCGCAAACTGGTGCTGCCGACTGTGCTTTTAAAATGAGACGATTCGGTGGCATTTTAGGTCTTGAGACAATATCAAGAAAACAAAATTGTAACGCTTACCTCCCATGCACTTTCTGAATAAAATGCCCATTTTTTGATCAATGGACTGGTCTCCCCTTTGATAAGTCAGTTGAGTTAGTATTTCTGAAACATATAAATGTTAAAGTGGAGAGGCTGAAAGGTAAGTCAACTACCGCACAGCAGACCTATTCGAGTTTACAATGACTTCACAAGACGAGCATGTGCACAGTGTCATTTTATATCTTCTCAACTTTAGAGGAAAACGAATGGGCAATTCAGTATTCAGTTCGGTAAAATCGTATTTTGCAAAAGTGTAAAGAAAAATTTTTTTTTTCTACTTTGAAAAGCTAAACGTAATTCGTCTCTTCGGCAACCTACTTATTTGTGCAAGCAATTGCGCATTTCGAGCAGAATTGCGGCATTTTCACCAACGTGGTCTTAAATATTTCGCACGAAGTTATTCCTGTTGATCTCTATTTTAAATTTAAGTTAGTGAAATTCACTATATATCTATGCCCAATTAAGAAGAATCCCTCTCTACGATCTATTCTTTTATACAATTTTCACATTTCAACACTTCGTGTTATTAGGGCAGCAAAGCAATTACAATACCTCTAATTTTGACCACAAATACATAAAAATCAGCTCTGTTACGTACGTCTCATATTCTGGTCTCTTGTGTTCGCTGCTTCTGTGAATCGGTTAACTGCAGAAATTCCACCCGGAATTGGTGTGCTTTCCTTCCACTTCCCGCATGCGTATTCAAAGAAGTTGTCGCAAGGATCCGCCTTGGTGTTAATGGCGTCATTAATTTGTTTTGCTGAAATATATTTTTAAATGAAAAATCATTTTACATTTTTATTCGACGATTACTTCACGTTTATCTAGGTCAATAAAAGAGACATTACATTTTAGGAACAAATATTTCTTATCTGGAAGGCAAAAAGCATGTTTATTCTTTCTGTAAAACACTATTTCTAAAGAAGGCTGGCTATAATGTAATCCTCGCGACATAATAAGATATCTGAAACCCAAGTAGAAGAAAACTTTTTTCACATTCCGAAATACTTATTTTATTTAAAAATAACTTCCTTTCGCATAAACTCTAGTTTAATATTTTTGTTTATTTTTAGTTAGAGGTTAAGTTCCAAATGCAATGCGAGGGTTTCAAAACCACATAACAAGAGTCAAGACGTTGATTTGTTCAAATACAATGCGCCAGCACTTAAGATATAACTGAATCATGTTAAGGTCCCCGCTAGCATATACAATAATATAGTCTGCATTAGCATTGCATCAAAATTAAATTTATAATATGATACCTAACTATGTCTGTATAGATGTATGCCTTATTTACTAGATCGTTATATAAAATGAGTGAGGTTCAGTGTTTTCCTTGATGAAACCGAGTTGAACACACTTTTTCGAATTCAAATTTATATTTCACGTGAACAGAAAACAAGAATATTAGAGAGAGAGAGAGAGAGAATATCTTTATTGAAACAGAGAGTTTAGTCTGAGCTTTGCGCTCTAACAGGCTTCTCTGTGGTGGGGAAGGGGAGGGGGGACAGAAAGACGATCGACAAAGGGTCAGTGATGATGAGATGAAATGCTAAAATATGTACACGCAATAGTGTCTAGTTTCAAGATGGGATATGAGAGAAAGATGAGAAAAATAATTAAAGCACCGTCAGCAAGTCAATGTCTTCGAGAAATTTAAGAGAGCTTTTAAGGCTGCTCGATGTGTCTTAGCAGGCCAAGGTCCGAGAAGCTTTGGTAGATCAAAAGGTGTACAGTCCAGAGCATTCGTAGAATTTTTGTAAACTGTGCGTTCATTTTCATATGCTTGACATGTGAGTAAAATGTGTCTGATGGTTTCCGGCGTACCGCATTTCTCGCAGTCCGGGGTCACGCGTTGTTTTATTTTAAAGCGATAGTTCTTCGTGTACGCACAGTTGAGGCGAGATCTATGTACAAGAGTTTCTAAATTTCGTGGTAGGTCGCTTGGTAGTTGTGTTGTTAATAAAGCGTCTATGACATAGAGAAATTTGTAGTTAGAATCTGGTGAGAACCAAAGCATCTCACGTGCACTTTTTGCAGTTTGCCTTGTCAGAGATGTGCAATCGCCTTTCGTAAAAGGAACCATTCATGTTGAAATGTGCTGGTGGGCCCTCTTGGCTGATTTGTCAGCGCATTCGTTATCCCGAATACCGGAATGTCCTGGTATCCACTGAAAGGTAATTTGGTGACCGTATTCGAATGCTAGGTGGTGGTACTCAGCTATTTCTAGGGAATAAATCGAATACATTTTCTTTCCAATAGGACTGAGCGACTGTGAAGCGCATTTCGAATCTGTAAATAAGGTCCATTTTTGTGGTGGTTGTTGACATATATACTTGATTGCTTCCTTAATTCCGTGAAGCTCAGCGGCTGTTGATGATGTATGATGGTTTAGACGACAAGATCTTGCAAGAAATCTCGATGGAACGAAGAATGCTGACGATGAAGTCGTCGCCGTTGTTGAGCCATCGGTATATATGTGCGTTGTTCTAGTGTAAGTTTCATATATGTAACTCATTACAAGTTGTAGCATAATTAAGCTATTCTGTTGGTACTTTGCGAGGATTCCGGGGATGTTTAGTTTAATATCCATTTTTGAAGCGTCCATGGGGGTATTTTGGAGTAGTCAGTAAAAGTTGCCTGCTTTGGAATATTGTCAATATTTCGACTTAAAGTATCCCCATAGCTGGAGTTGGGACGTTTTATGTGTATTTTAGAAAGATAGTGATTCTTATGCTGAGGTTTATGACGCAAATGTATTCGTACTATTTCTTGTTTCTTTAATATTTTCAAAGGAAGGCATCTAGCTTCTGCTACCGTGCCAGGTCCAGATGAACCTCTTGGTAGACCAAGGCAGATTCGAATGCATTTGTTAAGCGTCCCTTGAAGCTGTCGTTTACTCGTCAGGCTTATATTTATTAGGTGTGGAATAGAGTGCCTTATTAGACCTTCAACCAGAGATTTGTACAGTAGAATCATTGATCTGCAGTTACATCCCCAAGCTGTTCCTGCGAGGCAGCGTAGAACATTGGTTGCTTTCGTGATTCGCTTTTTTAGAGAATTAACTTCTTTCGTCCATGATAGATTTCAATCAATGTTGATCCCTAGAAATTTATGTACTGTGACGTAAGGAACTGTATGTCCGCATAAAAAGATCGGATACGTTTTCATAGATTTCCTCGTAAATGCCATGGCAACTGTTTTCTTGGGAGAGATCTGGAGACCTTTGGAACCTAGAAAACTTGCCAATATATGGAGAGATTTTTGCAACCGCAGCTTTACAGTTAGCCTAGAGCGGGAAGTAGACCATACAAAGATGTCATCTGCGTATATGCTAATACTAACTCTTCGGGGAAGATGCTTTTTTAATGCTATCAGTGTGATGTTGAATAGAGTGGGTCTTAGTATTGCACCCTAAGGTACTCCTTTGACAACATCAAAATAGTTGGAATTTCCTTCTGAAGTATCAATGTAAATTTTTCTGCACTTGAGATAATCGTATATCCATTTATAAATGCGTCCTCCAAGTCCTAGATCTGCGAGAGCCATTAATATTGCCTCATGGTGAACAGAATCAAATGCTGCTGTAATTTTTAAAATCAGTGCAGTGGTCGTGTGACCTCTGGCTCTACCTTCTTCGACACTCGTTATAAGATCAATGATGCAGTCTGTGGATGACCGTCCGCGGCGGAAGCCATTCATTTGCTCTGAATAACATTTGTTTTGTTCTAAAAACCATGAAATTCTACCGAGTACCATTTTTTCCATTAGCTTTCCTATACAACTCAAAAGTGCAATGGGTCGGAAAGATTCGAGACTAGTGGGCGGCTTACCAGGCTTCAAAATCGGCACAATCTTTGCAATTTTCCACTCTTGTGGTAAGGCTCCTTTGATGCAGGAATTGTTGTAGTGTTCAAGAAGTCTGAGTTTGGAATGTTGGGATAGGTGTGCCACGGCTTTATACGTAATGCCATCTCTACCTGGCGCTGAATTAGTTCCACCTTGAATTGCTGCATTTAGCTCATCAATAGTGAAGAGCAAATTTAGACTTTCGTTTGTTGCAGCAGGTATGGTAGGTCCCAGAGTCGAGATAGTACTACTATGTGTACCAACACTTATTAGGAAAGCGCAGTAATTGTTTGCAGTATCGACTTCACTTTGATTTTCACGCAGTGAGAGTGCTTTAAATGGATATCGCTGCTGGGGACTTCTCCTTAGACCTCTGATGATTTTCCATATGTATGTAAATGACTTACGAACATCGAGATTTCTACATATCTCCCTCCACCTCTTTTTTGCTAATTTTTCGAGATGTCTCCGAATGTGTAATTGTGCCCGTCGTGAAGCTCGCATATCTACCGGGTCTTTTGTGCGAAGAGCTTTCCGCTCTGCTTTCCGTCTTAAAGCACGTAGTCTTGAGTATTCTTGATCGCATCCAATTTCAACCTGACGCACAAATGAAAAAAATGTTGCCTCAGAAAGGGAATATGATAAAGTAGGAATTAATCCATCATCACTTGTCGCAGTTGTTATGCCTTGGTTTGCCATTTCTCTATATTTGTCCCAGTTGATGGATTGTACTTGCTTCTTCCTTGAGGGTATTCCTTCTAATGCCATGAGTATTGGATAATGGTCGCTTCCTCGCGTTTCAAGGTCCGTGTGCCAGGACATTTTGTTGAAGAGGTCACTGGATGCGAAACAAACATCGAGACAGCTTCCCGATTTCGCATTTTTTTAGAAATGTTACACTTCCGTCATTAAGACAAAGAAGTCCATATTTTTCCATGAGGTCGGCAAGGGCTGTACCTCGTGACGTTGTTTTTCTGCTGCCCCAAAGTTGATTGTGGGCATTGAAATCTCCACAGACGACGTGAGGGGTTGGAGTAGTTTGCAACATTTGATCAAGTCTTCCTGAATCGAAAGTGACATTCGGTTGGATATAGGCTGTGATAATAGTCAGTTTGGTTTTCCCAAGTCCTACTGTGGCACAGACATATTCATTTGTTGGATGGGGAGCAATAATGTGCTCGACTACTGCAACGTCAGTTCGACATCCGAGGAATAACCTACTTTGCTCCCCGCCTCTTTCGGAATGATATATTTGATAACCATTTAGGCGAAATGAGTCAGCAACTCTTGACTCGGAAATAGTAATAAGTGGAAATTGATGTTCCCTAATTAGCTGACGGAAATCTGATAGCTTTGAACAAAGTCCACGAGCGTTCCACTGAAATAGTGTGCAAGACTTAAAACTTTGTAAGGATGACATAATGATAATAAAAAAAATAAAAATAATGTGAAGGTCAAGTGTTTTAACCACACCATGTCTCAATAATGGGTAGGAAAGAGTCCATGATCCTAAGGGCAATTAACGCGTAGGGGGATGTAAAGCGCTGAAGAATTTTGCGGATTACTTCAGAGATGGATTTAAGGAGAGCTCCAATGCTCTCGTATTTTTCGGCTGGTGCAGGTACCTTGGAAGCTTGAGTGGGTTTGTCGCCGAAAGGCTGACTCTGATGCAGGTTTGCTTGCTTGGGGGGTTCTACACCTGTGTTGTTTGGCACGGGATTTGGATGTTGAGTAGGTTTGTCCTTGCTTTGTCTTGGTTCCCCTTGTAGCGCTGCTGTGTACGTTTTCTGAGGAGTGGAGCTACAGGCAGCTGTTGGGACTTGTAGAACTGTTGTTGACGGTGTCTGAGGAGTGCCGCACGGTGGAATTGTTGCAAGTTGGTTTGAACCACGTGTATAGCCAGGTATCGAC